AAAAAAAAAAAAAAAAAAAAAAAAGGCTGGAGGTTTCATAAACTCAGAGTACTTCAATTGTGACATAAATACAAATCATTCCCATGAGACTCAGGGGAATGAATCCATTAAAACATAAAACCCATCCCTGCTGTGCCATGAGTAGTAGTGTTTAAACCCACTGGGGCTTACTGCCCATATTTATGTAAATGCAAGTTAACCTAGAAGTGGCCTGCTGCTTTAAGACTGCTCTTAGAACTTCCTTCCTATGTAACTAAGGCTTTTTAAAACTTTTAAGTACAATATAATAATTTCTTTACATGTAGAATGATTTTGCAAAAATCAAAGCACTGCTGGGCACAGTGATGCATGCCTGTAATCCTAGTATTAGGGAGGCTGAGGCAGGAGGATCACCACAAGTTCAAGGCCAGCCTGAACTACATAGCAAGACTGTCTCAAAAGAAAAATTAAGTCACAAAAATCTTATGATAGTGCATTGAGTTCATCTCTTCCCAGTATTGTTCCACACACAATGATGCATTTTCCAAGGATTACCTGTGTATTTTTGTCAAGCAAAATTGGATGGTTTAATGGCAGTTAGAAAAAATGGGCCATTTACTCAAAGCTAAGAGCAAAAAGAGTAAAAATGGGTAATTTAAATTGGTGGGTAAAATCAACAGATTGAAAATTTTGATAAAAATCAAGATATACTGAAGTGAAGATATTAGGGTTTAGACGGTAGAAAATCTATTCTGACTGGGCTATGTTTTCTGATAAAACTCCTCCAGGTCCACAAAGGCTTTGTACACTGTCAATGTGTGTTTTTAGAACATGTTTACAATTGGAAAGTAGCTATCCTGTTTATATAAGAAAAGGATATGAGCAATCAATATTCTGAATAAAAGTATGTTTTTCTGTCAAAAACTTAAAACATGTAAACTAATATGCAGAATGCTTGTAATATTTATAAGAGAAAATACAGAAAAACTAATTCAAAACTCCCCAGATAGGAAAAGTCTAAGTTCAGGATTATCTCTGTCCAATTTTAATGTCTCTTAAAACTTAAATGAAATCACCTTGCCCTCAAGGAAGCATTTCCCAGACCATTTCCACAAAGCTTATCCAGAAACAAGTATCTCCTTTTGTGACTAGGGCTTAGAAGAAGTGTAATAAACTTGATTGCTTAGAAAAAACCTTTACCAGCTACAGCTAAGGGCTAGTAAACCCTTGGTATAGCTTCTGAACAAAATGAATAGTAAACAAGAGAAGACAAAAACAAAGTTTAAAAAAGGAAACACCACTATAGGTATAATCCAGTTTTTTTTAAAGGGATCTGGAGAAGATGACAGAAGCAGTATAGTTTAATTCCTTGACTCCCTATATGAAAACAGAGCATCTAGGGGCTGCGGATTTGGCTCAGTGGTTTTGCCACTGGCCTCACAAGCACAAGGACCTGAATTGGATCCCCGTAACAAAAAAAAAAAAAAAAAAAAAAGAAAAAAGAAAAGAAAGAAAAAAAGAAAAAAACCCACAAAAACCAGAGCATCTAGATAGCAATTTCAAATTCCAGATATTTTCAACAAAACAAGACAGCAAGGTATCCTCATGAACCAAATGTTCACTTACTTAATGGTATGCATGTTAAAATGTGAAATATTTTTGTCTCTATTCATAATGATTTTCAAATTCATCTACTAACCAATACTGAATTTATTTAAATATTTCAGTTTTGGCTCGGCTCATTAATACATCCAAAATTCATTTCACTGAACTTTAAATCTGAGAGTCATCCTTCAAAAACTATTTCAGGCCACTAAACAAATACTATGTCTTATTATCTGGCAATAAAACTAAAATTCTATTTCTATTAATTGTTTTATGATTATGTTTTCAAACAACCTTGTTGCAACTGAAATTATTTCACACTGTTGGGTACTTTTGCTTGATAATATTCTTTGTTTGTTTTTTTGGTACCGGGGATTGAACTCTGGTCCTTGTGCTTGCAAGGCAGGTGGTGGAACCACTGAGCTAAAACCCTGGCCCCTGATAATATTCTTTAAGAGATAAATGAGAAATCAACTAAGAAGCTAAATTCCCATGAGGGAAAAACTATCACCTGTTCTCAAGAAGAGTAAATTTTAGAAGAAATCAGTTATTAGAGAAACAAAAGTAATTTTTATGTTATAGTTTGAACACAATACATAACCATCTCAACATAAGTATTTTAAAAACAAATCATTGTGCTAACTTCTTAAAAGACCATACTTACTATACAGAAGCAAAATGTAATGCTATATTTTATAATGATTTCTGTAACATACTTCATTATCTCATTCATTAACAACAAATGTCAACATAGATATCCTATTTCCTGAGTTTTTCTGGTTAACTAAGATTTTATTATAACGCACTGATAACAGACCCTATTATGTTTATTAGAACAAGACACCAAGAGCCCAAATTTTGCTCTGTTTCTGGGTTTGGTGAGGCAAAGCCTTACGGCAGAGAAAGTGTGGTAGAGGAAAGGAGCTCACTTTATGTCAGCCAGGAAGCAGGGAGGGTGACAGACCAGAGCCAGAGAAGAAGAGTCTGGAAAACAGATAAGGTCTAAAACCTCTGAATCTGTGAGCCAAAATAAATCCTCTTTTAACTGATTTTCTCACATATCTTGTCACAGTGATAAAGAGTTAACATAGATGACAAGACATTTCAATGAGGAGAGAGTAATCTTTTCAAGAAAAATGGTATGGGACAACTGGATTTCTACATTTTAAGAGTTAGAAGGACCCCTGTTTCACATCATATTAAGAATAAGTCAAAGTGGATCACAGACCTAAATGTAAAAGTTAAACTGTAAGAATCATACTACAAAAAAAAAAAAAAGATCTGAATCTTTTAAGACTTGGGATTAAGTAAACATCTTCAATATGATACCTATAACACAAGTAACTGTAGGAAAAATAAATCAATAAATTTAACATCAAAATTTAAAACTTGTGCACCAAAAGTCACTTATCAAGAAAGTATAAAGATAATCCACAGAATGGTAAAAGAATTTGCAAATCATATCCACAATACAAAAACAACTCTCAGAATAATAAAAAGACAACCTAGCTCTTAAAGTAGGCAAATCAGATCAAGTGATATTTCTCTTTTCTTTTTTTGGTACCGGTGATCAAACTGAGGACCTTGCACTTGCAAGGCAGGCAGCAGAACCACTGAGCTAAATCCCCAGCCCTGAATTTGTATTTCTTACAGAAAAACAGACATATAAAGATGTTCAACATATGTCGTGGTCTAAATCTATGCATGTCCCCAGATTCCTATGTGGAAATCTAGTCACCAACATTACAGTGTTAGGCAGTGGGGTCTTTAGAATATAATTAGGTCATAAGGGCACAGCCTTCATAAACTGGATTAATGCCTTTATAATAGAGACTCCCAGAGAGCAAATTTCCACTAGCCAAAGACACCATCTATAAAATCAGAAAATTATTCCCCACTAGACATCAAATCTGTCAGTACCTTATTCTTTGACTTCCCAGCCTCTAGAACTGTAAGGACAAAATATTCTCTTTATAAGCTACCTACTTTACAAGATTTTTGTCATGTGTGCCCAAATGAATTAAGAAAACATCATAACTACTCAGGAAAATGCAAATCAAAATCTCAATGAGAGAAGCCAGCACGCCAGAGGAGCCTGGCAACAGCTTGCGAACCTCTGGTGGGCCCACCCCTTAGACCCAGCGCGCCAGAGAAGCCAAGCCATGCGGAGCCAACACAAAGGTGTTCATGCCCCCAGCTCCCCACCCCAAACAAGAAAAAGA